GACGTTAAATTAACTATTTAGCATAATCCTACTTGGTATAACATCAGCAACAACTTAAGAGATTTTAGTCAAAAAATAGAAGTGGCAATGAATATATAGACATATTTAACCTCCAATTAAGGAAATGCAAATATAGCACAACCATAAAATATCATTTTCACATACGGATGAGCCGGAGTTAAAAAGATTGAAAATGTTCCACGTTGGCAAGTCTGAAGAGAAAGGAAGTTTTGGCAAAAAAGGATCGCTACTCAGTACAAACTGTTACAACCACATTTTGCAAAGCAATAGGGCATTATGTATCAATCAAAATTTAAGTGTGCATCCCCTTTAATGCAACAATACCATTTCTAGGCTTTTATCTTAAGAAAACAATAGGACAAGTATATAAAAATACACATGCAAAGTTGTCCTTCCCAGCCACAAAAATAGAAATAACAGAAAAGTGCAACATAGGAAATTCAACACAGCACAGTTCAGCCAAATACAACTTTTTAAAGCCATGTGGCACTAGAATTATCAAAAGAAAAATACATCCATAATACATTTTTAGGTGTAATGAGAAGGCCAGCTTTCAAACATAAAGGAGTACAAGGGCGAGGAGTATAGTTCAGTGGTAGAATGCTTGCCTAGCATGCATGAGATCCGTCAGTCCAAAGAACCACTAAATAAAGAAATAAATATTCAGATAAATGATTCCATTCTTTATTTAAAAATAACTATTTGTGAGTATGTATTTGCATTTCCTAAGAAAAGGTTGGGATTGATTTTATTTGGTTTTGCCATGATGCATGGTACAACCGAACAGATAATATCTACGTAGTATTTGGGTATATATCGGGGTGGAGGAGAGACAGTCATGAGGAAATGACATTCTCAGTGGCGTGTTGATAAATACTTATCAACCGTCCTTCAAGGAGGGGCAGAATGGAGTTTCTCCTAGTGTAGGATGCACAGATTTCTAGGACATAATCATTACCAATATTATTAATTTGAAACTACAAATGTGATATCTCTGAATATGGAGTTGGGAAAAGATGTGCAGTTGTACACCATTACATAGTATTTTCATGGTACAGGCACAACAGATAAAATTTTGAGAACATAAGCTAGGTACGGTGGCACATGTCTATAATCCCAGCAAGCTCAGGAGGCTGAGGCAAGAGGACTAAGAATTCAAATCCAGCCTCAACAACTTAGCAAGGACCTAAGAAATTTACTGAGACCCTGTCTCAAGATTAAAATAAAAAGGGCTAGGGATGTGGCTCAGTGGTTAAGCACCCCTGGGTTCAATCTCTGATACCAAAAAATAAAAGAATATAGATAATATCAAAAAAATTATATAATAATAATTTGTAGTAAAATAATTAAAAAGTGGTGAATTGTATGTATGTATTTTTTTTAAGTTTGGAAGAAGAGTTGCCTATATGGTAATATTGATGGTGTCCAGATGTAAATTCATGAATCATATCTACTTCATTCTTTAGACCCTTATTTGCCATTTCAATATTTTAACACTAAACATGTTACCTTTATAGTCAGAAAAAAAATTCACAATTTTTTCCCCTTATCTGCTAAAACCTAAGAAAGAAAGAAAAAAATTTCCAAGGCATTATTACTTTTAAGAGAAGTCTTGCTGGCACAAAATGCTTCCCAGCATGGTTTTATTAGTGTGAACAATGTTTGCCCTAATCAATCCATGATATATCCACTCAGTCATGTCATAAGGAAACGAACATTAATGTTCATATGTCCTTTCCTAACAGAAATGAGAGACATTAGATTTCAAAGTGATTTGAACTCCCAAATAGTCTGATTCTCTCACTTCATAAATCAAGAAACTGAGTCCCAAGATGGGTGTTTTCTCTAAATGAGCACTACACAAGACAATTACAAAGTAAGTCAGAGGCTCTCCATTTATAAATGGTCTCTATAGAGAATAAAAATATATATTCCTCTTGTTCTTATTTAATGAGAAGGGATGACCTCATTTTGTGGAGTAGTATTCATTCAATTGGGTAATTGTGGAGTCTCTGATTCCTCCTACCTTTGTTCAGACAATAGCAGCTCACACTCCAAACATTATTTCTCAAAACACTTCCACATAGATGTTGCCGGTTGATCCTCTTAGGAACCCTGTGAGACAGGCAGGGTAAGGACCACTCCTACTTGATAGATAAGAAGACTGGAGCTATAACAGGCAAGTGGCTTCCCAAGGCTAGTGAGAACCAGGTCTCTGGCTGGACACAGAGCTCTCTGGGCATCTCCTATCTGAGGCCTTTCCAAAGCAGCTATCTGGATGAACCTTCTTCAAAGGTCACTTTCTCCCCTTCTCTTCCTCATCTCTCCAACAAATTCTTTTTTCCTTTGGCAATTTAACAATTATCAGCCTACACACATTTCTGTTTACTTCTAGAATTTTACTTGTAGCTCCCTAGTTACAGAGATTGCTAACAGAAAACTTTCTGTAGTTCATAAGACACCTACCTGTCTTATGCTTCACATAGTGGTTGTTATTCATTCAGGTCACCTGTGTTGCTCTTTAGTTATTTCTTTATTTTAGAATAAAAGATAACTCCAGCCATCTTTAGGCCTGGAATATTCCTGTTCTTTCTTGACATACAGGCTAAGCCCCAGAATATTGTTTTCTCTCGAAATTGGAAGTCATTTCGTATCATCAGAGAAATTATTTGGCCAATGTCCAAAGAACAGGTCAAGAAACTGCAAATGCTTTGGTGTGACACATTTTTAGACCATCATGGCTTCCTAAAAAGGACTAACCTGGAAGTTGGAGAAGACAGACTCAATGAGGAACTACAAATTACATGTACCAAAACAGACCCTGGGTGAGCTTGGGTGATGGTCTCCTCAGCCTCATTTCATTAAGGGAAGAAATGTGTTAAGAGCACACAGTATCCCCAGAAAGAACTGAAAATTTTCAATGCAGATCCAGAGACACACAGCTACCAGCTTTATCCACATGGCACTCCAGTCCCTGGACTTACTGACTGATGCAACCCCGAGCAGATTCCCTGGGGATGGATTTCCCCATCTTTACAATGAGGATCATGATACCTACTTTCCAGGGTCGTGGTGAAAACTCAATTAGCTACTCCCCAAGAAAAGGCTTTATAAACTCAAACTCAGCATAAAAACCTGTGGAATATCTTTAAGTGATCTAGATCATTTTTGAATTTCATTGCTGTGGGCAAAGGATGGAGGAGTGAGAAAGGGATTTGGTGTCAAATAGCGCCAGGCAGGTGGCCAGGTTTCTGCAGGCAGAACAGGGGAGCCACCAGAGCATACTAATGCTGCACCTCTGCTGAGACTACTGGTCAAATGACTCCTCACCAGAAAACACAGTGTCCCCTCCACAGCAAAGATGCTCTCCTGGCTGGCCAGGCTTACAGCCACACACAAAACTAGGCTGACCCCCTGATGCGTTGATGGTGACTGTAGAAAGATGAACTGCTAGCAAAGCTGCTTTGTTGGGAGAAATCTGTACCACCAGGGAAGAGGTAGTAGATATCTTAAGTCTACGAATATCCTCTGGAGGAAAAAAAAAATGATCCCTAATGACATTTCAACTACAAATTGTCCAAGAACAGAAATGAGTAGGCAAGAGGACAGCAGGTATGTCTGTAAATGAGGGAGGGGGGACAGCCACACCATTATAGAGTCTCAGCCTTCTGTGAGAGTGCTCAAGATGAGGATAAAATTGTCAGCTTAATATGAAGAGGAATAGAATATATTTCTCTTAAGCAAACACTCCAGAGAAATAAGGATATATCCAGCATAGGGCCAAAAAACCCATTTCTGGTGACATTTGTGTAGGGCCTTGAAGGCAGCTGTCACTCAGCAGCCAAATCTGAAAGAAGTAAGGATATGGTTAAGAAAGCCATCTGAAATTAGGTGCCTTTTATTTTCTTATAATTTTTCTTTCAGCTTTGATAGAAGAAGGGATCTACTCTTGAAGGTCCAAAAAAATGTTGTTGCTATAGGAACAGGTAAGCAGATTAAACTTGAAAGACCAGTTTTGAAACAAAGAATTTAATAGTCAAGGCTCAAGCAATTAACCGAGAAAACATTTTAAGTAAATATCTTTGGGGTTTGTTATTTATATATTAATTCTAGGAAGATAAAATGCTATTATAGGATGAGAGCATCACATTTGAACATTTTAATTATATCATTAGCAGCATAAAAGACTGTGCTTACACAATTAGCAGAACGACCTTATTAAACAGAAGTGTGCATTTCTAACTCTCTCTTGATTACATTGTAATTGAGAAATATAACTTTAAATTCAGCAAGAACATGAGAGTCATCTTTGATTTTCCTACAGTTCCCAAGATGGAAATACATCTAAAATAAAAGAGACAATGAACTACAGAAAGTTTTCTGTTAGCAATCTCTGTAACTAGGGAGCTACAAGTAAAATTCTAGAAGTAAACAGAAATGTGTGTAGGCTGATAATTGTTAATATTTTATGTGTCTTCCCTGTCCAACAGTCTAGGCAAACAAGATACGTGAGAAGAGAAGAAGGTCAGAGACCCAACTGTGTTGCTGCTTCTCTATTGATGCCTGCTCCTTCCTATCAGGGAATACCCTGATCCTCACCTCAGGGATCGCTGGCATCATTAGAAGTTTTGAACAGAACTTGCTATACTGATGAGGCTCAAAAAAAAAAAAAAAAAAAAACGAATTATCAAGTGGCATTGTGTTTCTCTCCCTTTCTGTTTTACTTAAAAAGAAAATATTCTTGATAAAATGAACACAATATTTTCATTCTAACAAATTTCTACAGTCAAAGGTTACATTTACAGGACAGAAAGATTTTGTGGACATTACCTCTTCTTGTGTAACCCCAGATCAAAGTGCAGAGAAGTGTGTAAGAGTGTGTATGAATGCACATGTCTGCGTGTGTGTGTGTGTGTATGTGTGTGTCCCAGAGATTGGGGAAAGAGAATGCGAAGAGGAGAATGTGGCTAGAATCTTACCATCTCATTCTCTTCTCCTTCATTGAGCAAAGCATGCTGGCCCTTCTCAAAGTGGTCCCCCATGAACAAGTGATTCCACTCCTCCTCCCTGACCCTCCTGGGCACACGCTTCCAGGACGAACTCGCAGAGCCACCGCCGCGCCCCAACTGACTGAAAGAGTTAATGATCCTCCAGGTTAAAACTCCTTCTGGAGCACACACCTTCTCTCAGCAAATGACAATACTTAGCAGACTGAACTCCTCCCACGAGTCACCCTCTGCAAGGAGGAATTTCTGGCTGCTCCTTGCTGACTGCATTCTCTCAGAGCAGCTGTCTCAAAGGAGTCTGTCTGCTCCCATGCCGATCTTTTTGTGCCCAACTTACAGGGAAAGAACTCATTGCCTGCCCAGTGCCTGCCAGCATCAGACATCTGACTGCAAATCCAACAGGACAATGCAGAGCTGGCAAGAACCTTCCAAGGAGCGGGTGCAAGAACTCCCAGGTTGCTGCCTTATTCACAGGAGCTGAGCCAATGGGGGTTGAGGGAAGCTAACAGAGCTCCAGATTTTAATTTGCTTAATGAAAACCCCAATCCATAGGTTTTTAATAGTACCCTCATTCATTTTGCTTACGAAAGGTACAAATTATCACTAATCCCTTTCAAAAGGTATTTGTAATCGCATTTCCTTGTGCGTGCAAAAATATTCTACTTAATGTCTATGTGGAATTAAGTTTGCTTTTCTTGCAAACATAAAAAAAAATGGATAATCAAACTATTCTACGTAGTCTCCCTTCACTCAACTATTGGTGGTTAAACTCTTAAAGATGTCTAGAAATCAAATATTAAAGTGATTTTACAACAAAACTCATGTTTTATTTGCTCACAAATTATTCAATGAACACCGTTTGAGCACAGGAACTACATAAATAAATCAAGTCGTATTTGCTACCCTCGGGCTGATGTGGGGATTCAAACATGCAAATAAGTAGGACAAAAAGGTTTTTTTTTTTTTTTTTATTCGGAGAGCTAGAATGTATAAGTCTAGGAAAAATGTCTGAAGTCCCAGTGTGGTATGAATAAGCACAATACTCCTCGGCTCTGGAAAAACACCTTTTTTCAGCCACTTGTCTGCACTGGTCTTGCTGTGTGATAATTTAACCTACAGGAACTGGCTCTTCTCATCTGGCAACATCTGGCAGGAATGTCGAGGGAACAGAATGGGACTTGAGACAGCATATCATATAGGCTCTTCAGGTGCTGTTGGCATTATCAGACCAGATGGCCAATTTGATAGCAGGTGGTATAGCATAGTGGGTAAGGGCATGTGCTTGGAATTTGAGGGATCTGGGCTCAAATTTGAACTTTGCTAAGTGGTAGACATGCCACTTTAGGGTGTAGCATGCTACCTAAACTCCATATGCCTCTACTTACTCACAAATAAAATAAAAATAAAAATCATGAAAATAGAATCTCCCTCCTGAAACCTCTTTGAGGAATAGTGTCTGGGAAATAGTAGGTGTTCAATAAAGAAGAGTTACTTTTACCTTCACTATGTTCACTGTCTGTCCTTCAAGTTAAGTACAGGGTTGGCACTGATATCTCCCGCCTGACACAAGTAACCCTACAAGACCAAGTCCAGTATGTATCTGTAGTCGTGTGTGTGTGAACCCTTGAGCAAATGGTAAAGTAAGAAAAACAATAAAAGTAAGCTAAGCAAACCCATTAGAATATTAATTACTAACATGTCACATACATAGTTCTCTGAGTTTTCAAAAATTGTAAATGTAATTTAACCAAATAACAAAAATAAAATTAACATTTTTTACCCCAAAGTCAAAATATGAGGAATGGATATCTTTTTGGAACTGATCTGGAATTAGTTATGGCTTCACAACTTTGCAAATATGCTAAATTTCACTGAATCGTATACTTTGGAAGGGGGAATTTTGTGGAAGTAAATTTTTTATTAAAAAATTATACATCAAAAACGTAAGCAAATATGTTACAGCAGAGTGGGTGACCCTTTAAAATATTTGACATAGAAAAAAATAAATAAGACTATTTCTAACTTCATCTCAATTTTTTAGTGTTAGTATGTGAAGGAACATAACTATACCAGTGGTGGTATGCAGGTGAGAGAGCAACAATTTGTTCTCCTGTCTACAACTGGAGATACTGGTACTGTTTCCTCCTGGCCAGGATCCAGAACACACTTGGCAACTCAGGCACCATTGTGGAAACAAAATGAGTGAGTAATTGATTAGGAGCTGGAGGAGAAACTGCAGACAAATTTGTGCAGGAAAATGAATCAAGTTATGGCATTAACAATATTTAAGCCTAGCGTGAGCAGGAAATATAAGATTCTACGATCATTAAAAGCTTTCGTAAAAAAACAAGTGTTCATGGAAAGCCACGCTCAACAGCATGATGCAGGAAAACCAAGAACTCTGAGGTAGTAAAAGAGCTTCCGTGGGCCTCTCAGTGGTTCTGATTCTACACTTCCAAATTTCATCTATGGCACACTGCTCGTCCTACTTGGTGCTGCTGGTCTACAAAGAGGAATGTGCCCCAAACTGGTCTACATCTGTGAAAAAGCAAAGAACATGCATGCAATCTGTTCTAAACCTTTGACACACACTGTCATGGACAGTCTGTACAATAGCCTCTGTGGATGGGGTAACTAGGGTCATCCCCATACAAGGAAACACACATGCAAGATTCAAAGAGTTAATAAGTGAAGGATGAGCTTTCCAACCCAGGCAACGCAACTTTCTGTGATCCTAGTTACCAGCTTAACACCACTTCTGTGGGTTTGTTGGATATAGCCGAAGTGCTCTGCAGGGACTACTGCACTTTCAAGATCAGGAAAGCCATCTTTGTGGAGCAAGTATCCGAGAAAGACCTTGAAAAGTCTTCAGTAGATGGAGATGCAGGGCCATGACATGGGAAAGAGCATTTGAAGCAGAAATGTTTGGGAGCCACTGAAGGGAGAAGCACACAGTCTCGTTCAAGGTCAGGTTCTCACCTGCATGGAAGCCAGGGAGCTGGCAGCGACCAAGGCAGCGAAATGCAGCAGGAAACACAGATCAGGGCCATCCCACAGAAGTCTTGAATGCTAAGTCGGAGTCTCAGCTTATCAATGAGTGATGATCATGTGACAGTTTCCCTGGATCCGTCTGTGCTATAGGAGTCATTACACGTGCAGAGGCGCGTTGAGCCCTGCTACGTGACATTGTATGTATAAAGACATTTTCCTTGAGCTTTGTTTAAAAATCTCCCTTTGGAACATTGTTTGAAAATTATTCTTTTAATCAGCCCTTCCTCTTAATTTCTTCTGCTCAGTATTTCTCTTCTGCACTAGGATGTGTACGTTGTGATGAGAAAAGCAGATGTGGATTCAGTGTGGTCTGAATTTTAACATTGATATTTTGCTGACAGATTCCATCCATTCACTCGTTAAAGTGTATTTGATTAAGCTCAGTATGCCAAGACCTGTATAGATGAAGAACAGAGATTCACAAAGAATGATCGAGTTAAGTCTGTTATGGAAGCAAGACCACCAACAAAATATAAAATCCAAGACGTGTTATTTCATAGGCACCACAGTGGAAACTCAAGAAGAGAGTTCGATTCACAAGGCCTTGTGAAAGTGGGGAATTGGCTCTGAGCTGTCCTAGACAAATAGAAATGAAGAGAGAAAAATTTTTCTGACCAAAGCGACTGAGACCATAGAGGCGCAGACCTGTTCTGGAGAATATGAATTATACACATGTTGATTACTTAGAATTGAGAGGAATATCCAAGTGTAAAAGTTACTTCCATCATTCTGATTCTCTCTCTGCATTCACTTTTTCTCAAATACTCTGTTCCAAAGAAGCTGGAAAATGGGAGGAAAGAGAGTGAATAAATAATTAGCTGCCTCTGTTGATCTGGTATCTCCTGCTCGTGCTTATCCCAGGAGCATGGCTACCACTCTGAGCAGTTCTCAACTTCTGGGTGTCTGTAATAGATGTTAAGTAGACATAATGGCAGTACCAGTTTCTCTGCCAGGTCTGAAGGGATGTTGATATTTCACCTGCCTAGCCCATTTAGATGGTGTACAGATAAGTAGTCGTAATGTTTCATCATGTATTAATTTCCATCTTTCATCTGGGAACTCCACAGCATATTACCAACATTATCCTTGCAACATCTCTGTGAAGTGGAGAGGTGAGTAATATTATTGCCCCCATTTGAAAGCTGTAGGAACTGAGTCATAAAGAGGTCACAGAGGACTGTTCAAGGTCATGTGTCCTCAGCCTGGAGTGGAACCTGAAACAAGTACAGTATTTCTGCTTTGTCATCATGGGCAATAAGTTGGCTCGAGCCCCCTCTTCAGTCCTCTTTACACAAATCCGATTTTTGCAAAGTACTTGAGACCTTTAGTTACAGAACATTATCTAAACCCAAGGTTTTACTGTTATTATTAATTATCCTAATCTGCACTAATATACAGTTTGTGGGCCATTCTGTAGCAGGCAAAGATGTGATAGCCCAAAGAGGAATTACCTGCCTCAAGGTGGTGGTGCGAAGTTTAATTGAATTAATTAACGTTTCCAAAACATTTAGCAACCCTTGGATTAAAGGGTCTCATACAAAGACACAAGCCTCCCTATTAATTAGAGAAGAAAAGAGCAAGCTAATGGCTACTTCTGCCTCAGAGGAGTTGTTCCCAACTATCCCGCTCAGCGCTGGGTTTTGACCTTCTTTAAGGTAGTGCGGGGTGGTTAGAAGAGCTTCCCTTGTTTTCTGTTATTTCCAAAAATAAAAAATAAAGTGCTCCTCCATGTGGGCAAGGCAGCTCCCCTTCTGTGAAGCTTGCTGGAGCTAGCAACTGTTGCACCAATTCCAGGTCTCTAAGGACAATCTGGTTGAGTTCCACCCAAAACCCAAAAGAGTCAGTCCCCAGACAGAAACTTCATGACAGTGTATTTGGCTTTGAAAACCTTTAATCTGAAAATCTGAATATATATAAAAGAATACATGTTAAAGTGTGATTATTAAGAATTATAGTCTATTGCAACTAGATTGAGCCTTAGAAATGACTATTAGCTTCATCATCTTTCAAGTTAAAAAAAGGGGGGGGGGGGGGTGGGGGGGGCTGTATAGTGATTTGTCCATGGTTAACATCTGCAAGAG